TGTGCATCACTCAAGTCGTATTTCGAATCCGTCCATCTTTGGATCTAGTGTAAAACCCAAAAATTTTGAGGAATAAATAATTTTTATTTTTATTATTATTCTTTTCATGTTTGAATTATATATATATATATATATATATAGGTTGGTTATTATACAACTCTTGACATTTGTGCAACCAATACAACTCAATCTCAACCGTCCATTTCATTTGATGAATATGTGATTTCATAGAAGTTTTGATTGTTTCATAATATAAAGTATTAATCATAATTAATGAACTCTATTCATATTCCATAAATATTCAAATCATAATAWATGAACTCCCATCATTTCTATAAATATCTCAATTAATTGGGTTGYAAGAGTTGTACAAATACACAAGGTTGTAAAAGAAATATACCTTATATATATATTAAATAAATAAACAAATTAAAAGAATTTTGAAAATCGGATTAACTGTGAAGAAAAAACTCAAAATATAGGTGAAAAGTATAAATTAGGCCAAAACATTGATAGTTAAAGGGTTATGTCAGATGTTAATAAGTCCAAACCAGAAGGACTTGTTTTATAAATATGTCAGTAACTGAAATTTGAAAGGGATTGAATGATGTCGAGCTTTGAGGCCTCTTGTTGGCTTGCTTAGTCAACCAATAAGCCAACAAAATTACATAGTTAACTAGTTCAACGTCCTTCCCTACATTTTTGGTTCAAGAAAACCAGTTTCGTCGAGTTTGGAAAGAGAAATCGGAGGTCGAAGTTCGTAGTCCAAAAGCTCCGTTTTTCGGTTATTGGAGGTAACATGCGCGACTAAAATTCATGTTCTTTATATAGTTAGCTTTCTTTTTAAGTCCTCCATGGAACCCTAGTAGCTTTATGTTCCAGATTTCGTGTTTTATGGTTCGATTTTGAGATTTAAAGTTTCGTTCGGTTTAGTTTAAAATTAAAACTTTAAGTAAGAAAATGGAACTCAAACTTGACGAATAATTGTGTTTTTATGTCAAAATGTTGGTAAAAATATTACTAAGGTTTTGGTACCAAAAGGATCAATTTTGAGCTCAAAAAACCACAAAAAGTGCAGCCATGGAGCTCCTGTTTTTGGGTTGTGACCGGGTCGGATCTGAGCAAATCAATGGAGCCGACCGTCAAAAATTAAAATAGATATCTACTAGGAAACAAGCTAGAACCCATGAACTCTACTTGGTAGGGCATGTCTTGACCAACCCCGTTACCAAGTTACTTTATGCTAATTAAGATTAGAAATTTTATATATTAATAAAATTCTATTATGACCTCTAGAGTCTAGAAAATTAGATTTAACATCTATAACTTTCTTAAATCCATAAAGTTTCCTTGATTTATAAAATTACCAAAACACCCATAAAATTAAAGAGTGTATTTCGAGCAATACATAATCATTTTGCTTCATAAAAATACCGTCAATGTTGGGATTAACTACTTTAACTATGTAATTATTTGAGGATAATTAGAATGAATCATTTAAATAATTAGATGGCTTTTGTTAATGAGATTAAAACGTAACATTTGAGTTACATATATATATATATATATATATATTTGAACACTTTATTTATAAAAAATTATTTTATGGAGTCATAAAATGATTAATTGACCATGTGAGATGTTACTCGGGTTATAAATTTATTATGACGTTTTAACTCGAAATAGGTAATTATTAACCTATCTATTATGTAATAGATAACTTAATAATCATGTTTATGATGTCCTTTTAAGATCTATAGGTAGATGAGATATCTTATGTCGGAACTGGGGGTTCCTATAATTTTAATTGATGTGAGAAACGTTCTTAAGGTTAGTTGACCAAGGTTGACTTTTATGTTGGCTTTTGGAGAAGTTAATCATTAATGCACTATTCCATACTATAAATTGTAGGTTACCGGCCAACACTTTCGTTAAGCAACCTACGTTGTCAGGTGAGTCTTCATGATATTTCACTGGAATGTATACCTAAGTACAAATTTATTTTAGCATAACATGAGATAATATGTACGTATGCATGATATTTCACTTACATACATGTTACGATATACTTTACATGTATGTTATTTTGTGAACAGTTGCATGCTATGTTTAATCAGTTTTTGAATAACTCTAGCATGCTATTTCGTATTAAAGTCTTATGATTAGAGGGTGGACATTTGACTAGTAAGTCATGACCATCATAAAACACGACTTAGATAAGTGGGTGCTCAATTTGTTGGATTGTGATAAATTTCGAAAACCAAAACATAAACAGCGGAAGCAAACAAAATCGAAAAACACAACCTTCTAGAGATTTGGTTACAATTCGATACAAGTAATGAAACAAATATATAGGGTGATTAGAAATACTTTTTAGATGGAAGTGAAGAACCCAATAGCAGGATCCTCTTTATCGTGTTCACACCCCAAAGCTTCTATCACTTGTAAACAGCAGGAAATCACCTTTCTCTATCTTGCAATCCCAAAAGCACCGCACTTTATATTGATAATATGTATGTGCTTTTTAGTTTTCAGACCACACCCTTAAGGAGAGAGTGTGGGTGCCGTTTTCTAGAGGAGAGAAGAGGAAGAGCTCAAATGAAAATTAGATTTAGGGTTTAAGGATAACATCTTTCTATAAGGCCTAATCCAACTAAAATCTAACCATATTAGATCAAGGCCCAATCTTAATTAAGCCCAAATAGGTTTAGACTAATAATCAATTAGTCCCTCTGGCTCTAGTAATTAATTAACCCTCTTAATTAATTATCCATTAAACCCTTAAATATTATTCTTGCTTTTACATTGATAAAACTTTGTGTGCGACCCAATAGGCCCTCATGCATTTAAGTATATCAATATTTTGTTGTGTTTATGGGTATATCTCCAACACGATTAAGATTGACATATCAACCCAGGGTGTGTTTGTGACTAAATGATCCATACCCGACTAAACATTATATGAGATCTCTTCTTTTAGTGTTTCAAATATATTTTTGTAAAAGTTGGGACTTTTATTATAAAGCATGCATATATGTCTGATATATATGTCAAGATATGATTTTATTCACGCAAACCATGAACTCAGTGACCTTTATAAGCTGACTATAATATTGTATCTCCAGGGCCAAGTAGTTCGAGGTTGGATAAAGACAAATGACACGCTTAAAAAGTTGCCTATTATCATTTTATATTTAGTCTTTTGTCTAGACATTTATATGTCGATCATTTGTAACTTAACCTGGTATAGGACGAGTTAGAACTTAAGTTAATTTTTGGTTGATTCAAAGATTTCCGCTGTAAACATTTTAAACGGTTTCAATTTAGCTGTCATTTTGGAGTATTTATTTAGGAATTCGTTTTAGATTACAGTAATGTTTTTCATGGTAAAGAAAAAAAATGAGGGCGTTACATGTAGGATTAGCCATCATTTGTAACATTTCAAAGTGATCGACTTGTCTGCGTTGAGTTAAAAACTTCGACTAAGTGACCAAGTCTAAGAATTAGCAATCTTAACAACAAGTGTTGCCTACTAGTCTTAAGTTCGGCTCACACTGACACCCAAAGAGGTGTTTTAACTCGTAATAAAAATAGAGAACATGATACAAGTAAAGAAATATTTAAGAAATGTTTACATTAAAATATAACTTGAAATTATCGTCACAGTAGTAAGACGGTGTACAAAAATTCAAATGCATGAAATTATACAGACGAAGTAAACTAAATACTGAAAAATAAGGGGGTGTTTGAGATTGCTTATTTGAAACAAGTTATGTTTTTCTAGAAAAGTCTTTATCAACTTATTATAAGTTAGAATGATTTAACTTTTTCAAAAACTCTTTATTACCGGTTTGGCACCGGTATAAACTATTTATCTAAACACTCAAAAGTACTTATTACCGGTGTCACACCTGAATAAGTCACTAAGTTGTTTTTATAAGCAATCTCAAACACCTCCTAAATGCTTCTCTTCCTACTCCAGATCTCTTAGAGTCTGCTGAATGTTTGTGAATACGGATGACTCTGATGCTTCCTCAAGGCTCCAATTTATAGGGGTTCTTAACTCAAATAGTCTTTTGTAAAAGAAAAACTATAAAATTGCCTAGAAATAAATTTATCCATTTAGCACTTTGGAAGGGTTAACGGAGCTTCACGTAACAGTGTTAAGTACAACGACCAATTTGTTATAAAAAACATAAAATAAGAACGAGTGGTATACTTAATACATTTTAGAATCTAAGGAACCATTAAACGAGAATCTTACTTGATAAAAGACATAACAAAAACCGATAAACTTACCTAACAAGTGAGTGAAGAAAACTTTTAACCGTTTAGCACTTATTGAATAGGAGATGTTTATCAATGATTTATTTTAATAACAAAAAAATTTACCAGATGAGATAAATGAAGATAATGAATCTTAGCAATATTAACTTAGGATTTAATAAAGATGGCTAAATCCAAAATCTAATAACACAATAGACCATTTATTCAAGGGTCCTTGACTTAATTGACCATTTCACACATACAAATTGATCTTCTAACCATTTCTTTTCCTAGTTAATCTAAATGTGACTACTTCCGCAATATATAGCCGATGGGCTGTTTACTTGCAGCTTAATTAGACTTATTGGTCTATCTGGCTTATTCGCACAACTCATTTGGGTTGTTTACTAACGGCTTATCAGTACAGAATATGACTTAATTGCACAGATATAAATCGTGTGTTGTCCCCGTTCAGCCACAAAAATGACACCCCTACCCCTTATTTAAAGCATCGCCTCCTTCCCATATGAGACACCTTATTTTCGGCCTCTTTATGATTTTTTGTTTTGATGTTCAAATAATTAATATTGAAGACAAATCGATCATTTATGTTATTCTGATCGCATATTCAGATAAAAAAAAAAAAACAACAATAATCATTTATCCGTATTTACAGCCGACAACCGACAAATACATAGCCTTCAATATTACAGACACAGCTAGAATGGGAAAAAAAAAATCAAATTAAAATAGATATGTATATGCGACGGCGAGGTTTGCAACTTAACGAGCAATTTGAAATAGGTAGATGCGGGCAACTCGTCCAGAAACTTCTTGAATCTCGTTTCAATTGCCGAGTCTGAACTGAACCAGCGATTTGCTGTATCGGAATTCGTTTCCTTTCACTTCTCGAATGATCAGAAGTGTGTTAGGTAAGCATTTCTGATTTATCGTAATTTGCTTCAAGTATCCATGAATTTGGCCTTTTGTTCTTTCGACACACACATCACATCGAACAGGTGATGTATGAGCATGACACGCTCGTGATTTGATGTTCCAGCGTTTAGATCTGATTTCTGTGTGCCAAGACTACTGAATTTCATCACACCTGCTGAATCTCATCGATTCTATTTGAATCCTGGGCTGACAAGCCCTCAGGAAGAAATGAGAAGAAATAGTAACATGCTCTCATATGGAAACTAGAAATTGCTGAATATGTTTTCACAGGCTTTTATAGGGACATCGTCACTGCTAAACAATAACACTTATAAAGGTCATAGGCATGCTATATATAAGTCTGTATAGGTCTAATAGTTAGGCCTATAGTACATACATTTTGAATGCTTTCGTATGGCTAACTATCAATTTCTTTTAAGGAAAGAAAAATGCTCATGGCAGCTCTTAAAAAGATAGGAGAGGAGTGTGAGTCTGATAGAGCTTTAAGAGAGAGGGACCCCGAGATTACCACTCTGCTAAAGTCCTCTAAGCCTAGTTTTTCGTCTACTTCTTTCATCTCCGCAATCATATACATATTCTTTCTAATAAGAGAAAGCATAGATCTTTAATAAGTTGGCTAYGATTAGTCACTTCGGAAGCCGTTAACCAAAGCATCGGCTTTTGACCGTCAATCTAAAATAAGAAATAGCTTTCATAATATCTTTATAGTAACAGCTAGGAAAGGAAAAAAAATTGCTTAAAACCCTCGCTAATGCTAACCCACGACTAAAACAACCTGTTACTGGAACCAAAAACCATTACTTCCATATAAAAGGACAAATCCCAGCTCTAATTAAATGGTAAGGCAAACACTAAATGAAAGGATAAATCGCAACACTAAAGATCTCCCCCCATTCTTTAGTTGACTTGGGTGATTATTTGGGCCAGATAGCAGGTTTGTTCTTAGGGCGCCAGAGTTGGGGTAAGTCTATCGATTAATTGATGCTAATGGTGCTGGGGTTTTTACCTTTATTTGAAGTCTTATAAAAGAATTTATTAATTATTCGACAGTGACATCTAGGCCTCTTAAGTTTCATTTTTAACCGTGTGCACATTTTGGCTGGTATAAATACATTAATATGCCTTGCCTTAATTAGAACTTGGTGAAGATTTTATTAGAAAAAGCAAAAGACAACCTTTTCTTTTTTGCCAAGAGACAAACATATCATAGTTCATTTACTTAATTCTTCAAACACAATTGTGTCTTGATCACATGCAACCTATAATCACCAGATGACCAAACTGTCGATGCCACAACTCCAAAGAAACCATGACTATCACATCTTGAACAGTTGAACTTCAAAAACATACAAATCTCCAATGTTTTTTTACGCCTGCCAATCATCCTCTTGGTAATTGAATCCTCAATTAAGACGCTGTCATGATGAAAACACACCACCAATCTCTTGTGAAGAGTTAATGTACTAACTGAAACTAGATTGAATTGAAAAGCTGGAATTCATAAAACATTTTTGAACAAGAAGGATGGAACATGCACATCCCCTATCAAATGAATTGATACTTGGTCATGGTTTGGTAGAGTTATCTTTAGGTTGTCAACCCTTCTGCTATTGATAAGCATATTAAGATCGTCCCATATATGTTGTGGGGCTCCTGGATCCACAATCCAAATGCATGATCTATGATCTTCTGAAGTATAAGACGTAGAATAGTGTGTACCTGTTGTGTTTTCAGTTTTTTCAGCCGTAACAATCACCATGTTGACCAAAGTCATGTGACCAGATAGAGCTTCCATCAGCTTTCGACCCTGTATAGAAGAAAAAACTTCGTTTCATCTTTGGTAAATCCAAACCTGGCTGTGTTTTACTGTGATCATCAGATACCACGTTATATGCTTTTGGTTGTGTTTTAAACCCACAGGCAAGGAGGATGCCCATGAATCTTATAACACGTTTCTATAATGTGTCTTGGTCTTTGACAATGAGTGTAGAAGGGTCTATCCTTTTTGATTCCCCGTGTTGACTTATTTGTATAGCTTTGACCTTTGTTCACACTCAAAGCCGTAGATGAATTACCATTATGGTTGCCAACACTCTGTTGTTTTTCTTCTTGCACCAATAAAGAGAAAACTCTGTTCATTGGAGGAATAGGATCCATCATCAGTATTTGTCCACAAATATAAGCGTAAGACTTGTTTAGTCCCATGAAGAAACCCATCACTTGCTCCGTTTGAATAAAAGACTTACACTTACTGCTAGATCATTATGGTCGATAGTTGGACAATTCTTCCCATAATGATTTTAATTTGGTGAAATAAACATTTGGGACTTTTTTCCTTGGGAATGATTCATCAAATCACGTCGAGTCTGAAATATTCTTGGACCATTAGACTGCTTGAAATGATCTATGAGATTTGCCCAAATTTCAACAGCGGTATCTAGAAACATCATACTAGCTGGTATATCATTGGACACTGAGTTCAGTATCCATGATATTGCCATATCATTGGCTTGAGTCCAAGCATTATACCTTTCACCATCAGAGTCAACAGGTCTTGCAAAAGTACCATTGATGAAGCCCAATTTGTTCTTAGCAAACAGAGAAATTGTCATGGATCTGTCCCATGCCATACAATTGTCCCCAGTAAGCAGTTGAGACACTAATGCTAATCCAGGATTGTCCGATTGATGAATAATCAATGGATCATTGTTATTCCTGATTGTTTGGGTCTGTATCAAGCATGTTGATCAAGGAATGAAGAAGATGAACCTGAAATCAAGAAACAATTTCTGAGAAGTAAGCTTTGCTTTGAGGAGACAAAGGCGAACAAAAGTAAGGAGAAAATACATCTGAAGATAAGCATGGGATTGAAGAACCATAGATCTTCAATCACATGGAGACTCAATATCGTAACTCGAATATAGATGTGCCGCCGTGGTGCAGATCTGAGTGAGGAGGAAGAACACTGTCGAAATGGGAACACACCGGAGCAGATTTACAGAAGCGCCGAAGTCCGAAGAAACCATGTTTTGATACCATGTCACAAGAGAGGTTTTTGTATTGATTTATGCAAACGAGATACCAAAAAAGATTTACACATCATACCTATTTGTACTAATCTAACATTCATCTTAACCAATAAGTGGAAGTCCAATAATGCCCTCTATTTATATACTAATCTATTTATGCTAATCTTTATATAATATGGTGCTGCCGGATTTAAATTTGTTATTATTGTCTGTTCCTAATGAGTTGGTCCACGAATAACATTTTATTTTAAAAGTAGATTAGTTTCTAACTATCAGATTTGTCTTTTTGTTGCAATGTAACCCCTATACTTGCTAAAATGCAAAAACAAAGAACCCTATACTAGAAGTGTGATCACTAACTCGAGCATATATATTTTCTTTTAATTTTTAGCAAACACAATGGTTAGTTTGCTTCATGATGGTTACATAACTCATTCACTTCTTGTTTTATTGGTCTTGGTGATAGTTGATCTTAGTGCTTTATAAGTTGGGAAATTTTGGAGGCAAGTTTAAATAGGTTGTGGCATGTTGGCTCACTCCCATGGTTCTTCCTTGATGTACAAGCGCATGCCATCAAGGGACGGTGCAAATCCAGTTGACTTAGAAGATGAGTCAGGTACCCTGTGATTAGTTATTATGTTTGTTCAACTTATATGTATGGATTGCTTTTGCTTGTATAAATGTTGGGGAATTGTGTTTTGTGGTTAGAATAACTTGGACCTTTTCCTAGACCATGGTTGGAAATCACTTCCCAAATACTGTATTCCGCGCCTCTAATGCTTTGGGTTTTCACAAAATCAGTACCGGGATAATCTAGAAAAACCATACACTAAATAAGGCACCGATTTTGTATATATATGTACCCAGATTGCGATATTATGTATTTATAAGAGAGATTGAAGTTACAGCGGTTAAATGGTTGTGACGGTTAATGGACAAGGTCGAAGAGCAGTTACAGCCGAATCTTAATTCTGAAGTATTCAGGTTCACATATTCAGCAATAGGCCAACGTACAGCAATGGCCGATGTTTCAGTGATGGTCGATGTTCAGCAATAAGCCATGTTCAGCAATGGCCATCCCTGGAGACACGTTTAGCGATAGCTGAAGACGAACCAGAGATAGGCGATAGCTGAACACCATCCAGCGATGGCTAGCACGACCAGACCTATCTCTGTTTCAGAGTTTAGGACTTAGTAAATTTCTAAGTCTCTATAAGTTAGATCCCAAAAAGGGGCTCAGCCCCTTGGAACCCCGCCAGGGGCGCTGCTGCTAGGACCCTGCAAAGGGGGCGCGGCCCCCTTGACCCCCCGCTTTATGGCGATTTAAGGTGATAGGGCAACATTTATGAGTGTGCACTCCGTACTCCCTTACTCACTTATGTTTGCCTCATCATCTTAATCGATCTCTTAATAAATCACAACTACACCAAATGGCTGATGACACTAAAATCACCAACATTAAAGCTCATTAAGCAGCTAAGAGGTGCAAACATTTATGCGAGGATAGGTTTTGATTGCTAATCCATGCCAGGGGGCATTTATTGTAACAGCGTTTAGAATTTATAATTAGGATTCCACTACCATTGATGTGCCACCACCATAAAATTCTTGACTGTTATTGCTGTATACTTTGAAAATTGATATTTTAAAATTAAATTTTACGAATTTCAGAACGCTTTTTTCTTTTCAACTTTTTGGTGCCTAGGGTAACAATTTAGATGGCATTAGAGCTGAGAAATGAACTTGAAGTTGGGAAACCATGTGTCTTTGGATGGTTGGAGCTTCTAAATGGCATATAATATGAGAGAAAAGTTTTTTCTGGAGTCATGAATGTGAAAGAAATTAAAAGAAGGCGAGATGCAACTACCAGAATAGATTAATCTAAAATTTCACTTCTTTAATGTTTGTATTTGCAATTAGTGTTTATCGAGCTGAAATCTTGTCTGTTTATATAGGTCTTTTGCAGGATGATATGGTTCAAGAGCTTACTCACCCACCTTTGATAAATTCTCTGCCCCACGTAGTTGTGGCAACCATAGTTTCATTCTTGTTCGGTTACCATCTTGGGTTCGTTCTCAATCTGGATCATCTTTCACAACCCCCTCCCGCTTAAAAAAAAAGAAGAAAAGTTTGAGCATCCTTTTATGGTTGTTGTGTCCATCCATTTTGAAGGAAAGGCCCCTTCTCCCTTCTATAAAAACAAGCATAGTGGAGGCGGCCACCTTTAACTGGACAAATTACAAAATAGAAAGAAAAAGACAGATGCACAGTGCATTCATGAAGTGTGGATATTAGTTTGAAAATATCTATTATAAGTTGCAAAAAATTGAAGTTTGTAATATCTAAACCGTGTTCTTTGATGTGCAGAGTAGTTAACGAACCACTTGAAAGCATATCCTATGATCTGGGTTTCAATGGAAATAGTTTAGCTGAAGGTGTCCTTCCTTTCCTTTTCACAAAATATTCTTCTGCTACTTGTATTAACTAAAACTTATGAGCTTCCGTGCATTGCAAATAAGGTTTTGTGGTCAGTACGTGTCTTGGTGGTGCCTTTATTGGATCTCTATTAAGTGGTTGGATTGCTGATGGAGTTGGCAGGCGTAGGGCTTTTCAGTTGTGTGCTATGCCTATGGTTGTTGGTGCTGCCTGTAGGTAATAGTTGATTGCATAAAGCCACTTTTACATGTTCGTTTCCTTAGTCTTATTATCCTCGTCTCTCTGAGCTGTGATTTGCAGCTAGCTTTTTAAGGTTGACTCAAGTTATCATCTTTAAGGGGCTGTTTACCAAACGCTTACCCGGGTAAGCGCTTACGAAGTAACATTACCTCACTGGATGAATATAGTAAGGACCAAGAATCTTACCCGGTAAGAACGAGACAAGGATTAAGAGTCTTACCCGGTAAGCGAGGAGGACGACTCTTACCACGGTAAGCGCTTACCGGGTAAATTATTGTATACTATGTCGTTTTGGTGGACTAAAATCTTACCCGGTAAGTACATAATAGTGTTCAATTTTACCAGTAAGCACTTACTGGGTAAATGTTTGATAAACGGTCCCTAAAGTCTTCACCGTTAAAATTTATTAATGTTCTCCACTATTTTTGTCTATTTATCTCTAGCACTCAACCTCTGTATATCAAAATTCTCTGTTCTGCATGCTAGAAGAAAACAAACCATTCCTTTTGCTATAATAATAGAAGATCTATTGTGTCATCAACTACGCTGAGACAGAGATTGGATTATACATTGCTTACCCTTTTGAAGGTGAATCCTCTTCATGAGATTACCGAGGCAAATATAGCTTTTGCACATTTTTGTTTACCCATGAACAGGATGAATGCATTTCAATTGGAAAAGAACCACTAGATATGTTTTAGCATGCTAGAATAAAAGAATCATGCCGTTTGTTATCATAATATCATAATAAAAGATCTATTGTGTCGTCAACTAGAGTTACTGTGACATAGATTCTATTATAGATTGCTTTGTCTTTTGAAGGTGAATTCCCTTCATCAGATTGCTGAGGCAAATAGAGCTATAGTTTGTCCATGAACATCTATACACCCCGACTGGAAAAAACCAAGAGAAATATAAAGAATCGTTGTGCACCTACAGTAAGCGATAATTGGGCATTGATATATGGCTCCAGAACAGTAATGGGTTACTGAGAATGTACAGCACATGGTTGGTGTAGCTGAGGATTTACTCTCAGCCAAAGAGGGATTATCCTGCTGTTGTCTGGACCCTTGGAGAGCTCTAGAAGTCATGTATCATCTATATTATCGTCATCATTTAAATATCTGAAACAGTGATGGAAGCACATGCCAAATAAGTTAAAAACTATAACAAATGCAATTGGGTTGGTTGTTTCTTATAAATCAACTGTGGTTTGTATTACTCCAAGCCACAAAACCATTATTTGTTTGATTTATTTGCTTGATATTCCATCTGTATTTTTTATTTAGATGCTCATGAATGCTTTTTCAGTGCGACAACCAGCAATTTGGGAGGGATGCTACTAGGAAGGTTTTTGGTTGGGATCGGGTTGGGTATTGGACCTTCTGTTGCATCTCTCTATATCACAGAGGTGAACTAGCTATTACTTCTTGCCATACTCACAAGTGTATCTTGAAAAATGCTACTCTCTTATCTTTTCCTTTCTTGGGATCCCTAGCAGGTTTCTCCTCCTTCTGTGCGGGGTACTTATGGAAGCTTCATTCAAATTTCAACGTGCTTAGGATTACTAGGATCTCTTTTGATAGGAATTCCTGTTAAAAGTATTCCAGGCTGGTAAGGAAAGGGTTCGATGCACCTGCACTGAAGCTTCATTATGATTCCTCTTTCTTAGACAAATGTAATTGTTAACTTCAGATTCATCATGCTAGCATATGTTCTCAGGTGGCGTATGTGCTTTTGGCTATCTACTATTCCAGCCATTGTACTGGCTATCGCTATGATGTTCTGTGCTGAAAGTCCCCATTGGCTCTGCAAGGTTTGCTGTGATATTTACTGCTATTTTCTTGAGAATTACTTACCTATGTAAAACCACATTAGTTTCTTGCCTACCCTTACTTTCCCACTTTCCCTTGGCCACCATATTAACTTTGTCCCTTATGGACCCATTATCTCAAGGTCCTTCTTCCCCTCTTGTAGTTCCTCTGCAGGATGCAGTAATGTTGTATTATGCTAATGTCTCTCATTGCTGTTAGAAATATTTGCCGATATCTGTTTCTTCCATGTAGAGGACTTTATGCTTGTATTGATGTGTTTCATATGTTGGCTGACATACCAAGTTCCCATAGATGAAACAACTCGTATAGTACAAATCTACTATGCACTCATGCTTCTAAATACCAAAGCTTCCTCATATGCTTGATAGAGTGGAAGAAATGCTGAAGCTGAGGTTGAGTTCCGGAAGCTCTTAGGAGCTGCACATGTCAGATCTGCAATGGCAGAGCTGTTGAAGTCCAACAGAGGGGATGAAAACGATACTGTTACGATTTCAGAACTTCTTTGTGGGCGCCATTCTAGAGGTAACTGAATTCGAGGGCATACCCTAGAGTTTGTCTTTTTTAGCATACATCTATCCCCTCTATTTAGTTTTCCGCTGGGCATAGTACTTGACTTTCCTCTCACTCTAGCCCTCTGCAAAATGCTTTGCTATTCACTTGCTCCTTTTGCAGTTGTTTTTATTGGATCAACCCTATTTGCTTTACAACAGCTATCTGGCATAAATGCTGTATTTTATTTCTCTTCAACTGTATTTAGAAGCGTGGGAGTTTCACCAAACCTTGCCAACGCCTTTGTGGGGATTGTGAACTTATTGGGTAATCAGCACTTTCTCACATTTGATCCATTGTTGCAATGAGAACCCACTATCAAGCAAACACACCTTTATTTCAACTGATATGTTGATGCTTTTTCAGGATCTATAATCGCATTACTTCTGATGGATAAACTTGGGAGGAGGGTCCTTCTTCTGTGGAGCTTCTTTGGCATGGTAATTTTATAAAATCTAGTTGTCGAGAAGCTAGAACTTTGCGTTATTGACATCATTACCTGCACAATGTTATCTGAATGTTAGAGTATAGCCTGCTATACCACCGTCCCAACATAAGTGTCCACATTTTTATTTTAGTTTGTCCCAAAATAAGTGTCCACTTTCAAAAGTATATGTCTACTTTCCCATTCTATCCTTAATTATGAGATGGAGAAAATTTCCCTCTCTATTATTAAGGGTAAAATTGTCTTTTACTTGATAAAAAGTGTAATAATTACAGATTCTTAAAACTTTGTGCCATTTTCATTGTGGACATTTATTTTGGGACGGAGGGAGTATTATTTTCTGCTTTAGGTTATGCAGTTTTCAACCCAAGATTAAGCATCTTAATTCGCCTACCCCCACAAAAGAAGACCTGAACATGTGAGAATCTGAGAATGATATGAGAACAGAAAATTGTATTTAATGTGTGGGTCACAACCTATCTCGGCTTCTGTGCGAGTAGAGGAATTCACATTTATGTGCTTCATGCACAAGTAAATTTTTTCTAGCATACATGTGCTAACTTTGCTTTCATATGTAGTATCATCGTAAATGAAGTGGCTATTAACGCTTAACAATGTGAAATTAAGATAAAAATTGTTTATACTATTTGGCCATGTTCCACTGTTCAATTACTTTTTAGTTACAGTAACCCATTACAGATTATGTAATACATGTTTCTTCACGGACCGAAATTAATCAGTACATCTCCATTTTTAGCATACTATTTCGAATAAATAACTTGTACCCTCCATGCATCATTAATTGTTACTGGCATTCACTAGTATATAGTATGCTCTATTAAATATGCTATTCTCTAAAGTTTGCCTTTTTTTGTTGTTGTCATAGGCCATATCTACAGTTTTCCAAGTAGTTGCAGCAGGTCTGTTTGCATCAACTTCTGGAGCTCTATACCTGTCTGTCGGTGGCATGCTAATGTAAGTTCCCTCGTGGCTTTTGCAATCATCTATCATACTCTTTTTAGGATGCTAAGAGAAAAAGATGGAGGTTCTATATGACTTCTACATTGCCTTTTTCTCGGCATTCAGTGGCGTAAGTGAAATTGACCCATGGAAAGACACATTACCGTCCACTTAACGTAGGTGTATTTTTCTGAATTAAGGTTCCATGAGTCACTGATCTGCGTCTTGCATTGCGCCCTTTCAATCCTTTAAAGGAGCTTAAAAATGACTTGTTATGGATAATTATCTCCCAATGTATCAACTCGATAAAAGTAACCTATGAATAAGAGAAAATTCCAGCCATCAAATATCTTACAGAAATTGCTTTTTCTTTGATGGAAGACCTCTACCATATATGATGAATACTGATCGAACGCTTGGATTTTTCTATTGAATTTTGCATCTTACATAAATGAGGAATTGTTATTTTCTTTGAGAAGTTCCATCTTTTAAGGTGCTGTTGATGCGTGGGACAAGATGAGGCAGTGCAGAACAAAAACTTCTTGTCCCACATTTGACATGACATTAGACCGGGACATGATAGGACAACAGTGAGTGGGACAAAAAAAGGTGGAACAAAAATTAGGGAGATAGAGTCAAGATGTGTAAATTACTAAATCACCCACGTCAAATTAGAACCCTAAAACCTTCCACAATTCTTTCACCCGTTTACCTCACTCTCACTTATCCAGTCTAATCCTGTCTGCGCACCTAACATAATACCAATTTCTGGTGGTAATGAGAAGTAGAGAAAGGAAATCGTATCGAGTAAATGTGTTTTCTTAGATTTGCATCAGTTACGTATTTATAGTTTAGCAACTTAACCTACTATGTAAGAAACTGGTAATCAAAGTAAAAAAAACATAACCAGCATTCTAACTGGTGGTTGAAAGAGCATGATTGAATGGTGTAGGTTTGTGTTTTCATTTGCTGTTGGAGCTGGTCCTGTGCCTGGTCTGTTGCTATCAGAAATCTTTCCAAGCCGAATAAGAGCAAAAGCAATGGCCTTTTGTATGTCAGTTCATTGGGTACGTAATTAAATTCCTCCTGATTTATTAAAACTAAAAGAATTCCATTTAAGCATCTCATTGCTTTAGTTGATGTACACATATACAGAAGCTACTCGACAAAGGGTCCAATTATTATATGGTTTCATATCGTATGGTTATGCATATTTACTTATAAATCTTGAATCTTTTGTAGGTGTTCAATTTCATAGTAGGGTTATTGTTTCTGCGTCTGCTGGAGGTAATGGGCCCACAATTGTTGTACACAATGTTTGGTGCGATTTGCTTGAACGGTGTGATGTTTGTAAAGAAACACATAATGGAAACGAAAGGGAAGTCGCTTCAAGAAATCGAGATTGCCCTTTTACCGCAAGAATACAACATTTGAAAATTTTGATTATTCATGTATGAATTATATAACAGCTAGTATTTCTTTACTACTTGGTGTTTCGATCTTCCACACTGCATAAGGATTTCCTTTAGAAATTGAATACACTCAAAAGACTCCTTATCGCAAACATATCAACCTCAAATTATATATATATATATATATATATATATATATATATATATATATATATATAGGCGGAGGTTCAAACGAGAACCCCAGTGATTTACGAAAACGCAAGAACAACTAAATAACCACAAACTTTTTTTAATTAATAAATTAACTTTTATTATATATAAATAATTTAATAAGGATAGTAATATAATTAAGTAATTTTTATAAATTTTATTTTATTTTAATTAACCATGTTTATCTTCACGTTTCCACGTCTTCTTCTCCTTCATTGATCACGTCTTCTTCTCCTTCATTCATGCGTATCCAAATCACACCCATATCACACCAAATCGGTAGTCGATTTTT